TCCTACTCTCCAAGGAACTAGTAACTAGCGATCCGATTGGATGTCTCATCAAGTGGTTACAATTAACTGTACAATGGAGCTCAGGGGTACTTTCTTTCACAAAACGTGTTCGAAGGCCTGTCAATATCACAACTCTCAAACAAGAGACTTACAAAATGTCTCAACAAGCGTCACTGGATACTTTAATTGACCACACCCTCCAAGACTTGCCAGTGGAACAGAGGGAGCTTTGTAAAAAGAAGCTAAAGGCAAAAGCTAAAGCTCAGGTTACTCGCGAAATGAGAGAACCCTCTGAAAATTGGGAGTTAGTAGAACGTTGGGACGGTTGGGAAACAGCATTTACTGGCAAGCACCATACTGAAGCGTCCCTCGGGTGCATGAAACACTGTGACGTAAGACTTCTCCACAATTTGCTGCCTCCGGGAAAGAGGGCAAAGTTTTCGTCGCTTATTGGAGAAGTACAGGTATTACCAGGCATTTACTATACCCTCGCTGTGAAGCTGTACTGACATGAGTACAGCGATGTTCCAACATAGTTGGTGTCTCAAAAGCATGTTGCTTCCTGTGCCGCTTATACCTTGATATAGCATGCCCTGGCCTCGTTTATCGTGGTTCTAGTGGGAAGGTATTCCCATGGGCAATTCCTCCATTTGAGCGCAATGTGGATATTTACGACAGGATATGGGAAACACTTAAGGGCGAAGTTTGGAAGGCTCTTTTAGCAATTGGAGTACTACAATGCGAACGAAGGACAAGCTGCCAAGATGGTGGTGGGAATTTGCTGTCACCTGCTGAAGAGAAGGGCCATGACGAATTATGGTAGCCATCCGGAACTTTGAGTCTGGCTCTGAAGATGGCTGGAACTGGATACAGGAGTGATATTAGTAATTTAGAAAATGAGTGATACGTCACGTATGTACAGTGGCGTTAAATGAATTTGTACCGGGCAGTTACGTTAAGTGTAGATTGCAAAAATACGTAGCCGTGATTATATTCTTCAGACCATGGTACTGAAACTTACCTTTAAAAATGACGAAGTTACAAAAATATGGACGACGAGTCCGAGTAATTGAACATCACGTATTTCACTTATCCTGAACGATTGCCGAACTGACTGGTGAGTCTGAGAGTAGAGTCAGACGAGTCGTACTACGATCGATTGAAGAAAAACCGCAAAATAACTGACCAAGTCATACAAAATATATTCGAAGATAATGTAGAAAAAACTCTTGAGCATGTTAAGAATACATAATATTAGCAGATATTACTAATAATTCAAAACTAAATCATTGAATAGTTCTGAAAGATGTTGAAGAATAAAGTTTATTAGAGATATTCTGGTCCGTTCCTGGATTCAGTCCATCGGTATGGAACTGGATATCGCAACGGACCAGGCCGTTACGGGTTTAAATTCAATGCCACAGATGGCAACAGGGAATTACCGCAACACCACAGCGGCCACAGCGACGTTATAATTACTAAATAGGGACTTATTCAATAATGAAGGTTATTTTGTAGCAACATTTGGTCAAAGAACATCGGAGATAACATATGCGACGTATCAAAAGAAATACTCAGTACCTAGAGGTATACCACGAGAACAGAGGTATACCAGAAATGAATGTTATGTGGATCAAAGAACAAGAGGATGTAGCGGCATGCATGTGCCAACTAGACTAGTAGCACATGCAATAGTAGCTTTTAAAATGTAATAAATAGTAGCTCAAAAGATCCCGATAACTCCTTTGCAACAAACACGAGAATTTTAGCCAGGGCTTTGCTTAATCAAATCCTTACCACAATATTACCAACGACTTGCTCAAGCAATGTCTGTTATAGAAGATTATGATCTCAACCAGTTTCACAGTATGGCAAAAATTAACTTGAAGGCCCCAGCAGGCGATTTTCCAGCAATCAATCTGCGATGGAAGGCATGAAATGAAAATATGATCCGCAAGGACATATTGTACTTTGATTGTTGGCAAAAATAATGATATGAAACGAGTGGTTTTGGAGCATGATGTAACATGTTCATGATACTTTGCTACATGCAGTAAAGAACAAGACCTATAGTACTATTAACAAGAGGTATCATGAAATTACTCGTAGTGAAAAAATATGATAGACTCGGTTTCCAGTCACATATATGCCATCCCGGAACGGCCCGGAAATCTCGCAACGGCCCGGTCCATACTGGTATGGACTGAATCCCGGAATGGACCAGAACATATATTAATGTCTTGTTATTCATTGCTGACCTTGCTTGTCCTACAGTGGTGTCGTGTTATAAGAAACTGCTCGGGACCACTACAAGGTTTTTTATAACACAAGATTTCTTATAACAAGATATACACAAAAAATAAGGAAATGTCCAAGGAGGGAGTAAAATACCCTGAGGATTTTGAAGACGAAAGAGACCAAGAAGTTCAAGGGCTTCCATTGCAGCTTTTCAGGAAATAACAGGGACATGTGGAATATTGTCCACATCAGAACCAGACTCATAAATAGGAGCAGGCTCAGGTATCTAAAATGCGCTGCTCCCCCTCTTCTACCGAATCCTCCACCACCCCTCATCTACAGAATTAATAAACTCAGGAAGGCTAGCTCGAGGAAAATCAGGATGCGCAACAAGGATACAATCATATATCTCCTCCTTAACTTCCGCAATATCATTGCTTGGAGCAGTTGCTGTACCATATACCTTTACTTGAAAACACGTTGCGACATGGACCAACTGCAACTTCGTTATAAGAAACTACTAAGCGAAGAGTTAAGAAACAAAGAGTTTCTTATTTTTCCATACAAATTTTGATGGGACCGGGGCACAGTTTCTTATAACGCGACACCACTGTATTCAGCTTGTTCTATTCAGCGTATTCTATTGATCTTGTTCTATTGACCTTTACCTTGTTCTTGTCAGCCTTAGCAGCCATCCTTAGCGATCGAGTTCTTTCTGTATATCCCAAGAGCGTTAATATTTTTTTCTTAGAGGTTTATTTTCGAATCTGGATCGAGGTAAATAGTGAATATTACGTTTGTCCTTAGTTCAAATTATTGATAACTTGCGCTGATTGCAAATTTTTCTATCATTGTTATAATTTCCTGAAATCATTGCTCGCTCTAGTTAATTACTTGGCTGGAATTGATAGCTGCAGTGGATAGATGATCTTATGGAGGTTTTATATGACTTTGTATTTACAGGAATGGTACCCTTTTACGTATATCTCCAATGGAATTGAAACGAACACCTGAGTTCTAATTTTTGGTTGGAAGAGTGAGTGAAGCGTCTTATCGACCATCTGGGATGGGTGGGTCTGCAAATTACGGGTCATTGTTGTGCACAAGAGAAGCCATATTGACAAAAATATTTAGGACTGCGCTAGCACAATTGGTAGCATGATCTGTGGAAACACTGGGAGGAAGTGCGTCCTGAAATGTATTATTACATAGCATGGGAGGTTGAGGCTTGGGGTTCTACTTTGTTGTATATTGACGCCGGACCTGGCAGATTAACTTGCCTTGTCCTGAACCCAACCGGATTTCCGGGTGGCTCCTCATGGTCCCCTTACTATGGGACTGAATAGGAGTAAGGAGTTTTTTTTTTTTTTTAAAAAAAAAAAGAAAGGAGGTTGATGCTATGTATTTTTGGTTGTTTTGGAATCGTTGTGATTGAGGTTGGATGAGTGGTTAATACCTTGCTTGCTGGAAAGTTTGATGTATGTATCATAAATTGCTACCTAGTCCAATATCTGGACTCAGGGAACTTCATCTCACTTGCTAATCAGAATCCTTCCCTTTATCCAATAAGTAAAATAATATTCAAACACTAGAAGTTCTAGTTGAATATTCTGGGTTGGAATATTGAATGGGAGGATTGATATGCAAGAGGTCATTTGTGAATGTAGAAGCCTTAGAGGCTCGGGATAGAGAGGTTGAGATGCTGGGTCGGGTATGAGGTTATGGGGAGATGAAATTGAGAGAGAATTATTTATTACATGACCATGGGGAGGTTATTTTTTGCTGTACTACCTTGGTCTCTCCTCTGAGGTAACTGGACATATTCTCTATAGCGCAGAAAACTAATGCAGAAGTGTAGCAAAGCCGGGGAGGTGCGTTTATAGAGCAGAACGTCATTCATCACGAGTTGCACGGCGCAGTAAAGCACCAATTATCCTTAAAATCAACTGAAAATTCAGAGCTGCTAAAATATATATCCTCTGAACTCCCATTTCACATTGCAGACTGGTTGTACAACACCACCGTCGCTTCCCCATCAACTCCTTTCATGCAAACCCCTAACCACTACCTTCCTCTATCTGACACCCACTATGAGTTGTTTATGTTGTTCGTGATTGGTGGGGGGTGTAGTTGCGGAGGATGGAGAATTCCTGGCACCAAGCATAGATTGTCTCCCGCCAAAACTCCCAGACAAATAAATACCTTCCAACAATGTCACAAACGTTATACGTCGAATACATTTCACCCTCAGTCCTCGGACAGGGGAAAATGGAAAATCGAGGATGGAATATTTACCTTTACGGCTCCAGAGCTAATTCAAACGTCACCTGACATGCCCCAAGGCACATAGCTGCTAATTCTCCGTGGATGTTGAACTAACGGTACTCCGGCTGGTGTTTGAGATAGGGAGTATTAGGGTCTGGAGATTCATTGGTTTATGCTTCGGTTCCAGGCTTGCTGGAATTATGTCCGGCGTCTGATGGGATGTTCTGAGGCAAAATGAGAGGTGATGTTAGATTGTCTCTTATTAAGGATGTTAGGGATATGGCAGGCATATGGAGCGTAGTGAAAGATACCCAGGAGCACAAGCCTGAATGGGAGGAGCGTGTAAGCGGGGACCCAACCACGCAGTCGATACCTCAAAAAAATTGAATCTACACATAGTACCTACATAGACCAGTAGACGAATAGCTGCGGGGATGGAACAAAGAAAAGGTCAAAAATCCAAATGCATCTTTGTCTGGAAAGCATCAAAAAGTTTATGGCCCCGCTGGGATTCGAACCCAGATCACCGGCCTCATACCGTAGTGCCAGACATGCTGGACATATAGTCTTGTCTAGCCGGCGTCTTTCCACTTAGACCACTGGGCCGTTTTGTTGAAAAGATATAGCAAGATGCCATCTTCAACAACCATACTACTTCTAACCAGTCTTCGGCTGCCGTCCCGCCTGACCCTTTACACATCCTACTGCAACCCCATTCCACTGCAATCGACATCGAACATTGACATGCACCGCAAATATTCCTAGCAGACAAAACCAAGTACAACCTGATCTATCTACGGCAAGGTTCACCATTCCAGTCGACCAATTCACATTGCATGCCAGCTCGCTTCCCGTATACTCAAAAATTCCAAAATATAACATCATGCGTACTATCTCAAAGCTCCCGCTTTTCACGTGTTGCGTGCATGTCAACAAGGGTACGCCTTCTCCCGAGGCCATAAGCACGGAATATTATGTCCCAGCGGAAATTCCTAAGTTTCTACAGCTTCTGGAAACCATTCGGGTTGGGAAGGCCTGCCTTACTTCCGTGGGTAGAAATACATTGCTTTATTCCTGGAAACAGTCCGTAATATTAGTTTATACTGCCGGCATCATCAAACAAACGAATCCATCTCGATACTGTTGATTCTAGCTTAGCTATATAAGAGCGGATAATCTTTTTTCTTAGTGCTCCATGACGGAGAAACTCTTGCCACCACCAGGAACGAAGGGAGATTCGGATTATTGCAGTCTGGTACTGTCGTGCGGCACACCTTTGAAGGATTTGAGATATGTGATGGATTAATTGTGTGAGTCTGTATCCTACCTAAGTATACCCCCTTGACGCGCGGCTAATGCCCCACGCATCTAGGAAGTCATACTACCGGTTTGCGGTATCAGACCAATCCCATATCAACTCCCTCCCAAATAGCACTCATTACACTAATACATGTTTTTTTTTTTGCCTGATTTTTAAGTTTTTTTGAAAGAAAGAAATGTCCCTTATAACAACCCAGCATAGTGTTTTCCGTTTTCTCAATTCCCATCCCTTGACACAAACACAAACAAGTTGTCCAGATCCCCCGTACGCGTTTGTACCCCCGATTCACTTACTCCTCAGGGTTCGGGTTAGACAACGCTGCGCTCCGCCTACGGCTGAGCAGCCAGCCACGTAGCATACACTTGCGCGGGAGTATAACGTTCATCATTACCCATATCCCGAGGCAATTCAACAGTACGGCCTGCTGCAAAGTCACGGAGGTGGTACGTTCGACTATATGGATAATCCAATTAGCAAAAAGAGTTTTTAACGGGAGGCTTTATTGGACTAACACACGGTTCGCTGGTGCAGGAGTCCTTCTTGCCCGAATCGCAGCCAGCCTCGCCCGAATGGCAGCCAGACTCGCCCGAACGCATTTCCACAAAAGGTACCCCAATCCACCCAAAACAAAGCAACCGGCCAAAGCGACAATATATGCCCAAAATGGGATTGATTCTCTCACTGGAGTGGGATTGTATGATGGATGCTTCCCCGAAGTAGGTCCTTCCAATTGAGTGTTGTTTTGAGTTGGAGTAGGGACCGATGTTGTCCAGGTCAGGAATGTTTGGGTATATTCTCCCACGTTGGTGTGCAAAGGAGTCGGCGTGGTAGTGGTCGGATTGGCAATCATTGTGTGCTCGGGATCGAGTTTTGGTGAGGACATGTTGTCGAGCACCCTTGTGAGGAGAGCGAGACTGGGGAAAGAAATTTTCAAAAGGAATACTATGCAAAAGAGTCGGACTGTACGTGGGATTGTAGGAATCTCAACCAACGAGCAATTTGGTCGAGGATTAGGAATGAGGAGGAGTGATTGGAGAAGTGGAATTTGATGTGGGTTAAATGTGGGTAGAATTCCAGTGGTCTCGGCCCGAGCCCCAGGACGTTCAGCTTCATGGAACAAGGACTAACCCTAACATTATCGATAAAGAATTCATGTCTCGGCCAAATCTCCAGGACCTTCGGCTTCGTGGAAGAAGGACTAACCCTAATATTATCAATAAAAAATGCACGAAAAGAAAGTATGGGTAGTGTTCTAGTAGTCTCAGCCCGAGTTCCAGTATCTTTGGCTTAAACAAGGACCAACCCTAATATTATCAATAAAATATTCACGAAAAAGTACCACAGGGCACAACTCGAATGACATCAACAGAGGAAAAAATGAGAATGTGTCACAACCAGAATTATGAGATTAAAAGGTTGAATTCTTTCTACCAAATGCGGTCAATGGAGATGGTATGTAGTCGAATCGAAAAGCCCTTGTTGACTTCTCGGAAGTTTGCACGCAAACATTATAAAATTCTGGTGATTCTCATTGCTGTATTTGTAAGAGGTCATATCCTGTTTGAAGAAACCATATTCAAATTCTAACCTTCTAGGAACCCTTCAAGTAGGTAAACGACACATACCAAGGACATAAGGGAGGACTGGCGCACAGTCCCACGAACTAGTTGACATGACACAGCCGAGGAAAGTTTTCCACAAAAGTCTCCAGGCGTGCCCAGGCGTACTGGAGGTAGATAGGGCCCGCTACGGGTAGACTGAAAGATCCGAAGGCTCCGGCGGCGGTATTGATACATATCATGGCAGGGGAGGCTACTGGTGAATATGCAATTGGGTGAGGCCGAGCTTCAACTGTTCTGGAATTCATTGGGTGAAGGGAAGCCTCTGAAGGACACATGACAGTACTGTAGTCCTCAGGAGATATTGGACTAACGTGACTCTAGATCTTGCCTGTCGAATGTTGAATGAGGAGCGAGTGACACTGCCTGAGACTGACTAGTAAGGACCTTATGGATCGGTTCAAAATGGTGTGGATAAAGGCTAACCGTCTACAAAGGCAAGGATGTTGTTCTTTTGAGGAATTCGCAGATTGTATGCGGTGCTCCCTGGGTTTCAGATTTTGGCTTTTGGAAAGGGAGGGTAAGTTCTGGGTGTTGGATTCAATGGGCGCATCCTGGTGGCTTGTCATAGCTAGTATCCTTACCTGTATTAACGCAAGAAACAAGTTAGATACAAGGAGGAAGTAGTAAGTTGGGAAGTAAAGTTATCGGGAGGTTAAGCGATTTCACCAAGAGATGCATCTTCTCCGTGTACCTACTACATCACATTAGAAGTCTGCCACTACACCTCGTCTATATCCATTAGCTGCTGAGTACCTACACCTCCCTAACTCACTACCTTCATAAGGAATCTCGCACACCAGTCCCCTCAACTATCATTCAGTGCCCGCATCCCTGCTCCTCCTGGACCCAATTCCAAGTCTTTTTCAATGCCCTACCCCAAATCCCCTTGCCAACTTATGCTTAAATCCAGGTCTGTCCACAGGGTAGGTGCTACATTGCCCTGTGATATTATAATGCCTTCCTCTAGGTTGCTTCAGTGGTGAGATAGCCACCAGGATTTGACAGGGGTTGCCTATGCTTGAGGTTCGTACATATCGGGATAATTGAAGAATGGCAAGGGGATTTCACTGGTGATTGTTAGATTTGGTCACACAGATGTGTCGAATTCGATTCTAATGCCAGAAACAACGCCTTTGTCAGTAACATGAAGTAATGTGCAGTCCGAGGTAGTTGATGTACAGCAGTGGGGGGGGGGTCTTTTATACCCCTGCAGTTTCGACTGAGAGCAAGCGGTCTGGGTATAAATGATCATCAGCCAGTTCCCTTCCGTACCTACATCTAACTGGTACGGGTTTCCTCGTGCCATCGAGCCTTTCCTTGGTTGATTCCATGTGCGGAGGGCATGGGAGTATATATCGACCACCAGTAGCTGCTGAAAATCCCGTCATAGTCTTGGGTACCAGCGAGACTGCCCAGACTGTTAGCCATTGGTAATGGCGTATGTTCCTGCCGGGCTTGGCATAATGCATGTAACAAGTACTGACTCTGCACTACAGCTCTTGCGATGATCCTATCGATAAGGAGGCCCCCTGCGATATTTGGTATATATTATATTGGATATCAGGTTATTACCCAGTTAGTCTGCTTATTACCCGGCACCCAATGGGCATGCTTCTAGGAAAATCTATGGCAGTGCAAGGAATTTAATATTAACAATAATAATCGTTCATTTTCTTTACCGACTCCTCTGTGCTCTTTGCGACATTTCCTTCGCTCTTCTCATCATTTCGGAGCAAATGAATATTATATTCTGGAGGCCCTTGTTATCGCGCTTACTGGATCAGGCCCCGGTTGCGATATATCGTCCACCATTGGACATCTCAACCCTCCCACTTCTATATTTATCTGCGGTGTCGTAAAGGGTTTTGTTAATTAGATAATATCTGTCATTGACAGAGTTATGCAAGGCGGTATTGAATGAGCGGGGTTCGTCGATATCTACTGTAGACCAGCCAGTCTCTCAAGAACTTAAATCCGTTCCACAACACCGTGGAACCAGACTATCGCGACCATTCTTATCTGTACATACTGTATATAATCCAAATCTAATATGCCTTCGAAGCGCTCTCTGCCGCCCAACTTTCTTCCGACATCTTACATTAAATAGCGACGTCCATGTAGCCCTGGCTAATTATCACAACTATGAAGTACTTCAACTCACGGACCCGTCCTCATTCAACCTGACGATTATATATAAAGCCGTGTGATATCCACCTCTACACGGCCTAAGGTCTTTAAACACCACAGCTTTGAGAGTACTGCAATCTCCACATTTCAGGGTTGTTGCACACCTGCTACGTTCAAGCGTTCCTCTCCATCGAAACCACATAAATGACGCCATCATTTAGGAATTTGTGGACACGGATGAAGCAGAAGTATGTGTAACCCATCTCTGTGTACTCCAAATCCCTACCCTCAGCATGCTGACCAACGTGTCTAGATGCCGGAAATGGTTTGCCAAAGAGGGCAAACAGTCAAAGTCAACCCGACGTACGAAGAAGCACGCAACCACACCTGACACGAACCTACGGGTAAGGGACGAGCCCTTCCCAACACTTGGGGAGGCGAGCACAGGTCCTTTAATTATACCCGTTGGTACCCCGAACACTCTCGAGATCCAGGATTGGGCCAATGAGCAGCTTGAAAAGACTGCACAAGAGAGT